ATGAGTTTTATAGGGAGGTCACTCGGGTGGCCAGCTTTAGATGTATTGAGACGACGAAGTTGAGTGTACACCTCGTTTCTGGTGATGGTTGGTGGCGGTAACACAGGTAAATATGTAGGTAACTTTGTGATATCCAGGGCTGGTAATTGCGAGCAAATTTTTGCAAAGTGTAAATTTAAATCTTCAGCGAGAATATTTGGTTCTTTATTCATTTGATGTAACAATGGAGGTTTTTTTTTATGTACTCCGGTTAGCAGTCTAACCTGTTGATGCCATTTTCCTGGTTCAGTTCGTCTAAGATTTTTTTATCTTTCTTCTATACATTTGTTTTTTGGCCTTACAGATTTCTTTTTGAATCTTATTTCGAATTTCCTTAAAAGCATATGATTTACCATTAACTTTAAATTCAGCCTCACGCTGCTCTATTAATCTTCTAATGGTGATGTTTTATCTATAGGTTTTTGAATAATTGTAACTTCAGTGAAGTGTTGTTAATAATGCGAAATTAATGATTCTTGAAATAACAAAAGCTTGTTCTCTGCATCTGGTTCAGAATAAATTAAAGACCAATCCTCTTGGGTGATCCATTGTCCAAATGATCTAATAGAGGAGTCACGAAGAGGTCGGTAGACCAACTTTTTTGGTAAAGGAGGTTGATGTTGATTTAATGGTTTGGCATAAACAAGATGGTGGTCACAATTTGCGATTGAGGCACATATTTTGGGTGTGTCATATTTATCAGGAATACTTGTAAATATTTTGTCCAAAATAGAATTATTTCTAGTTGGAGTTGTCACTATTTGCGTCAATTGACATTGGTCTGTAAAGGGTTGAGTGTCCATATCATTGAAATCGCCAAGTATAATATGTTCAGCATTATTATAGCATGTTCGTAACTCATCGATAGTATTAACAATGAATTCACAGAGACTGGATCTAAACTGAACTTGAGGTGGAGAATAGACAGCAGATACAAAAATATCACTAATAAGTTGAATTGATGTAGATGATTGTAACTTAATTACAAATAAAGATAAAATTAATTTAACAGTTATAGAGTATTGGGAGAACCTCGGTACAAATAATATGATCTTGAATGACTGTAATAGCTATCTCAAAAATAACTATGTTTTAAAAAAATCAGAAGTGAACTATCCAAAGATCAGACTCTGTCTCTTATACACATCTAGATGTGTATAAGAGACAGCCATTGATTGAGGTTATTCATAAGAACTTGTAACCTACTTTGGTTAACATGATTCCGATTGACAATATCAATAATGCTGAGATCGTCCACATATTTCCATCTGTTTTCAGTTGACATGGCTGCATCGTTAATCATAGCAAGAAAAATAAAAATATATGTAGGATAAGATGTGTATAAGAGACAGGTCATTACCTTATACTCGTCAGGAGTTGCTTCGCTAGTAATATCAAACGCTCTAAAGTCATTGCGGACATAAATACAAATACCACCTCCACGTCTAAGATGGCGATCTCTGTGGAATAGCTGATATCCTGGTAAGTCACAGGCACCTGCTGGCTTATTGTCACTAAACCATGTCTCCGTGATGACAATTAAATGAACATTTTTGTAGTTTGTTTCAATTGTAGCAGAAAAATCGTCAAACTTGTTGTTTAAGGAGCGAGCATTTTGTAAGATTATCGAAGGTACAACAGGTTCACGGGTTTTCCTAATAACGTAATGCAGTGTAGGCCTAGGCCTACGTGTTTTGTCAGCTATCTTACAACAGCTACGAGCCTTCCTTGTTCGCCGTCCACAAATAACTTCTATTGTACGTTTCAATTTTCTGCCCCCTCTACTTCCTCTTTGGCGTTTGCGAAGTTCAGGAATAATTACAAGTTGACTGAAGAATTGCGGGGAGTGAAAATATTGCTTACCAGAATTGAGAGAGAGTAGTTTTTGGCGCGTGTATTTCAATGTCATTGTTGCAGCGTTGACAAATTCCACAGGGCAAGATGGTGGTGACGTTCAACGTGACCAAGGCTTGAATTCAGGTTAGCATGTGTCCAGCAAAAATGTACGTTAAAATTCGTAGTAATAGTAATCAATTAACCAAAATGACATCAAAAAGACACAAACAAAACACAAAATTCACAAATTCAGGACCAGACAACACTCAAACGACGAAATTAAAGCAAAAATGACTCGCAGGTCTCTCAGAAAATTTTAAGTTCCTACTGCAGCTGCAGAGCGCCCTCTGCATATTGCAGATATGTGGTGATACTGTGATCATTGTGTGGTGACACTGTGTTAAAACCCCGTGATCACTGTGTGGTGACCATGTGCTCACTATATGTTGACCCTGTGATCACTATGTGGTCATTGTGTGGTGACTCTGTGTTAACCCTGTTATCTATTATCGGTGCAATGACGATTGATTCCATACAAACAATTAGAAGTAATAAATTTCACCCCATTTATCCTGTTCACACAATACGGTACCTATTTCACTTAAAATAGTGATCGCAATCAATTTATATAGCGCATATTGTAGACTAACCTCTATGCCCTTTACAATAACCGATATCGATAATTTAAGGTGATTGTAATACGATGGCAATGATGATGACACTAAAGATAGCAACAACGGTAACGATAGCCATCTCAAACATCAATATACACCTCGTTAGTTATTGAATGGCAACGGTATTAATTTATAGTTTACTTTTGCTCAATAATAATAATATTGTTTTTTTTTTTTGTTTTTTTTTTTAAGGGTCTTGAGTTCTAACCGTATAACTGAACTAAACCAAGGTGTATTCAGTGGTTTGACTAGTCTTCAAACATTGTAAGTGACAATCCAAAAAAAAAACACACTGTGATTTTTTTTTCACTCTGTGTTCCCTGTAAATCCACAGTGTGGTGACAGGGTGCTCATTATGTGAAATTTACAAACACAGTGTGAACACGTAGTGAACACAGTGTCAACTATGTGAAATCTATGTGAACACACTGTGTACACACTGTGGCATTTTCCTAAGGGAAAATCAACATTTACGTTAATTAACCGTTGGAGTTCGCAATGTTCATTTATAAACTGGCGTAATTTTACAGTACAAAATATTGTTTTAACAAGTACTATGAATTTTAACGGTATTTTTGTATAACAATGATAAGACTGTAAACTCACACTTCGCGATGTTAAATAACGGTTCATCTTCGCGGGTAAAATTAACATTTTTCAATAATTTTACGTTCGCCGTTGTAATCCTACTATCAGTAAAAAAAAGTGTCTGTTATTTTACGTTTACTGAAATCCAATTTACTGTGAAAATAACGTTAACTACCGTAAAATTGTATTTTAACGGTATCTTGTATAATAAAAATACGATGTTGTTGATTTGTTGTAGCCTAAATTACCGGTATCACATGGTTTTTCTACAGGTTAAAATCGCCATTGTGTTTTAACGTCAGAGCTCGAAATTTAAACTATAAATTGGTATACATTTACCTAACTTAACCTTTAAGTATTGTACAGTATTAATAAAAAAATGAATTGCTATGTAAATATACGGTGAATTCGTAAATTTAATGTGTTTGGCTGGTTAATTTTACGCCGTCATATCACTGTTATCCGTAGTTTAACAGGTCAGAATCAACATTAAGTAAATTAACATCGGAGCTGTAATGATAAGCGTAATTTTTCAATTTCAAAACTTCTTTTTAAATAAAAAGTAGGCCTACTAGGCCTAGGTATACGTATAACGGTGTATTTTTGTAACAACGATGATATTGTGAATTAAACGCTGACATTATTCTGCTAATGTCATAATATTTCACCTACAATATTAAATTGGCGTAAAGGAGGCCTACCCACCATGATCGTGTCAAATATTTTGGAACTTCTTGACAATTATATATTTTTAAACATTGTTATTAATATATGTTCCCTAACGTAAAATTAAAGTGAAATCCATTTATTTGGCGCGCTTACAATCAGGTGACATCTGCATTATAACACACGCATGCGTAGTGTGTCGACGTTGAGGCGCGGACAGGCGCACGCAGTGCAGTGGTATGGAAGAGGAGAACACGTGTAAAGTTCGTTCGTCGGTTCTTTATCTTGGAAAACAAAAGGATCAGTGAGTTCAGTAAGTTTTCATTGCACAAGAACGTATATGGCTATGATATATCCTTTTTTAATTTCCAATTATTACTTATAAGAACTAGTTATCTTCGATAAAGTTAAAGCGACCTAGGCCTAGAGACTAGGCCTAATTAGCCTACGTACTACTACTAGGGCCTAGGCCCTAGGACTAGGCATAGGCCTACCTAGGGTCTGACCCTAGGCAGGCTAGTTGAAGATTGAAAGTAAGTAGGCAAGGCCTAGGAGTTGCCAGGTTAGGCCCGATAGTGTACCGAGTTAGCTTAGCTAGGCTACTGCAATGGAGAGCAGACGTTCAAGACCTGGCCATCAACATTTGGGAGCGATTACCAAAATATAATCCTCTCCTTGGCATTTTGACACCTTTTCTAAAAGAATCTGTTTTCCGACAAAAAACAAAACACAAAACTTAAGTACATCATTAATCGATTCCTTGGTGCACAAGTGTAGTACAGTATATAAAAGGTAAGATGTACTGTATGGATAAGGTGTGTTGCCAAACAATAATTGTCATTTTATTCTGATTATGATTGCTTGGAGACTATGATCCAAATGAGTTTGGCATTTGACAAATTACCATGCTATTTTTCAACTTGCCAGAATTTAACCCACAACTTTTTATGGTTAAAATATTTATAATCTTCCAACCTTTGGAAGAAAACTATTTAAAAAATATCAATGCTTTCTTAATGTTTAGACGTAATTACACAACAAAATAAATGCATTGATTTAGTTACAAGATACATGCTACAGTGCCCAAAATCCAGGATGTATTTTTTTCTTTGTCTGAAGTTTTAATTGTTTAGTGTTGTGTTACTCAGTCCTGAATTTTCTTTCCATCAGCAATTATGTTCTTTTTTCCAGCAACATGTGAACAAAACACTCCACAAACTTTATTCCCATTTCAAGCCTAGGAGATTTATCCAGTCCAGAACGAAACTCAAGTCAAGAAGAGTACCTTGATCTTCTATCACAGAAGCCATTTTTTGCCAGCACTTCCAGGTACGCAGTACTGTACTCTATATCTAGTTCTAATTAGTAAATATAAAAGACTACATTCAAATTGAATTTATCATCATCATCTGGTACATTGTTTTGTCTTGGGTAGATATTATGTAAGTTAATTATTGCCATGAATTTGTTATAAATTATCAGTTTTGTCTATCACTCTCTTAACATAGTGTCCACAAATCAAAAGCCACTTTTTGAGCTCAACATGCCAAGCCTGACTTTATAATGCCCTTTTGTTGCTTGCTAAAATAACATGGCCCTTAATAGGGCATGACTAAGATTATCTTATGTATTTATTGTCTTGGGAAAACATGGGATAATACAGTAAGTTGATTGTGCATCCAGAGGTGACGGAACTAGGGGATGCTGTGTTACGGAGAGTAATGTGTGACCAGTGGAGTGGTCTGCATCAGTTGGTTGTTACCATGCGCCTAGTCGCCTTTCAAAAATGTAATATTAAGTGGCCATATATATCTTTGCGTGATCAAAACTATAGGATAAGAGTCCACTAGCATGGTGTTTGGGATGTTATGTGGTGTAGTAGCATTGGGGTTAAAGTAATGCAATTCTATAATTATTATTTGTACAGTAGTTACTGTGCTGTGGATTAAGAATATTTTAAATATTGATTTCTATAGAGCAAAGGAGTCACTTGGACACAGAAGCATTTCAGTCTATGACAGTGGAAACAATCCTGGTGATGTCTACTGGAACAAGGTAGCTAATTATTAAAAAGTATTTTCAGAAAGGGGAATGACAACTACCTTCGTCAGAAAGAATTAGCTGGTCCGATATTGTTGATGACTCTACGTATGAAGATTTGTATTTAAAATTTGTTAGTAGCTCTCAATCAACAATTATGATATTATTGTATTTATGGGTGAGTCTGTACAACATAGTGTATTGCAGTTCTTTGCAATATGTAACCTAATGTTAAGCTAACTACAAGTATCTGTATTCCATGAGTCACTAGCATTGAATGTCCAATTGCCCAGCTAATTTACTAACTTATTGAAACTTGTTAAAATTATGATTAAAATGTAATAAATCTTAATTTTAATTACAAGGAATTACAGACAAGGTGTTTTTTAGGTACATTTATCCAGAAGTGTGGTTTCCCTAACTAATGAATTTATGATTGCCTTTGCAACGTCTCTAAGATATGGTGATAGCAAATTATAGTAAACAAGCTAAGAAGTAGAGTGATTAATTGATAATATGTTAGTACTGTACAGTGTTATTAAGCTGGTTATGATCCAGAATTGTGAAATAATCTTAAAATATACTATTGATTATTGCATTCTACTAAATTGTATTGTAAGGATATTACTATAAATGTTATTTTGTTTACTTTTGTTAGCCACCAAAAATGTAGTGGGAATTTTTGAAAAAGTAATTTAGACAGTAATTTATTGTATTTTTACAAAAAATTATTTTTAATAAATTTAAAATTGTAATTCTATATTATTAACAGTTGACAAGCATATTATTTACGTCATCTGTGATTCTACGTTACGGTTGACGACCGGAATTCATATTGACAATAATTTACAGTATTTTTACAGGAATTACTTATTTACGGTACCTGTGATTTTACATTACGGTTGACGAATGACATTTAACATTGACAGTAATTTACCGTATTATTAAGGAATTAATTATTTACCGTACTGTGTTTATACATTACGGTTGACGACCGGCATCGAGATTGACAGTAATTTTCCGTATTTTGAAAGGGAATAATTATGAACGGTAAACGTGATTCTACATTACGGTTGACGACTGGCTTCCTTATTGGCAGTATTTTGACGGTATTTTTAAAGGAATAAATTAATAACGGTCCTGTGATTCTATATTACGGTTGACGACTGGCGTCCTGATTGCCAGTATTTTGACGGTATTTTTACAGGAATAAATTATTAACGGTCCTGTGTTTCTACATTACGGTTGACGACTGGCGTCCTGATTGCTAGTATTTTGACGGTATTTTTACAGGAATAAATTAATAACGGTACCTGTGATTTTACATTACGTTTGACTACCGTATTTCGATCAACAGTAATTTACCGTATTTTTACAGAAATTTATTTTTAACGGTAAATGTAATTTTACATTACGGTAAAGTACTGGCGTCCCGGTTGCCAGTATTTTTACGGTATTTTTACAGGAAAAAATTAATAACGGTACCTGTGATTTTACATTACGTTTGACTACCGTATTTCGATCAACAGTAATTTACCGTATTTTTAAAGAAATTTATTTTTAACGGAAATGTAATTTTACATTACGGTAAAGTACTGGCGTCCTGGTTGCCAGTATTTTGACGGTATTTTTACAGAATAATTTTTAACAGTGTAGGCCCTACTGATAATTATTAATATTAATTATTTTCCTCAGTAGCAGATTTACTCGAAGATCTTACTGTTGAGGTTGTTATAGAAGAGCAACAACAGCATTCAGAAGTATGTATGGTAGACATAGGTGTCAAAGGCGACATATAATTTTAGATGTTTAATTAATTTTTTGTCACTATTAACGAACGGGGCTGCTACCAATAAAGATAAGGAGAAGTTACGTTATATCCAGGGTTGTGCTGAGTATGCAAATGAGGGAAATTGTGCAGGTCAATTTGCTGATGAATATCAGGGCTGTGTTAAACATGTAAACCAGGTAAGTCGTGCATGATATTGATTGGCTGAGAGCTATGAATAATGAGATAGGTTGTGAAATGTTAAATTGGGTGTGATTTGGAGGGGGACTTGGTTTTGAGGTGTGCAAGATAGAGGACGATGTCCGAAATTTGAGAATACAGATAGAATTGTGCACACAGCCTGCAGATATCAATTGCCATAATAATAATGTGTATTTTGAGCATTGAATGTTGCAAATAGGCAGGGAACCGGGATTGACGACTGCTACATAAGGAAAATAGCATATTGAGAATGCAAATTGGTGAGCTCAACAATAAACTGATACGAGGTGGCGGTTGCAGCTAAAACTACGGATCTAAATGAGCTACGGTACCTGCATGGTGAAAACCAGATATTTTACACATACTCTTGTTACGTGAGTTACAGTGAACTTATTATTGAGTTAAACATTGCATTTTGTGAACGTGAGATACATAACAAAAATAACAAGAAGTTGAAGTTGAGACCGTATATGCGAGCTACCCCACAGTGCAGAAAACGTACGGAAGTGAAATGCATTATTTTGAATTGGAATGGTGAACTCTACCAGCTAATAACGAAGTGAATAAAAGTGAATAAAAAACTTATTGTTGAATACATATAATATAGAAAGCAAATTGTGAAAAGAAATTAATGATCATAAGAACAGCCATCTAAGTCAAAGATATTTGCTACGTATACAGATATATAT